TGCCCGCTATTTCGTAAGATTTTAATTCCTTATAATAAAGGGACTTTTTTCAGAAAAGAAGTAGTTTTACCCTCAACCATGCAGGCTAATGTAGCATACACCACTGTTCACAACGTTTCAGCACCGCTCACATTTGAAAATACTGGTCTGCTGATCTTGTTCTGCCTAAAGACTTCCTACTTCTTATCAGAAAGATATATGTATATGTATTATTATATTATTACTACAATTATTGCTATGTTGGAGTTAGGCTACACAGCTTTATGCAAGGAATCAGCCTTGTAGGAACCAGAAATGTTTAACAAGAACTGAAACACTGCATTAGTATCCTGCCGTTTTGTACGTTTTCTGTCTTTAGACTTGTTTCGTTTTCAGAGGTAACGTACACAGGGAGATCTTCCCAGGTATGAAGTGAATTTGCTTGAATGGCTTATGTTTTTCAACATGCTGACTCCAAAGATTTGTTCAGAAAGCACGGGACAGTGGTTGTGTATAGACCTTCAAAACTTGGGACATCTTGGATATGCATTTGTTAGGCATAAGAAGAAGCTGGAAAGCTTCATGTTGCACCATCATACTACTACAACCAACAACAACAATAATAACAATAGAAATAATAATAATACAGTACAAAAAGCTCATTCCAAGAGGACAGCTTTTAACAACATTTTGTGTAATCACTTCCAGCGAATAATTATATAATGTTTTCCAAAACCCACTACCTCCAGTGAATACATTTTAATGCTTGCTTATGAGAAATGTCTTTGAATTTTAAAGTGAATAAAGATTACCATATTTGTGTTTGGAAACATAGCGCACTAAAACAATAACTAGAAAAGGATTCAAATTAACAAACCTCATTGCCATGGATTTCCCGCACCCCTTTGGCTATTTAATCAAGAGAAAGCTTTTGCCAGTATGTTCATTCTAAGAGGTTACAGATGTTCTTGGCAAACTTGTCTTACAGATGTTGGCCCAAAGCCTGTGTTGGCCCATATGAAAGCGTGAATTGCATCTTTTCCCTCTTCAAGACAAACTGTGTACTACTTAGGAGAGTCTACAGAGATGGCGGATCATGAGGGCGCTGGCAAAAGGGCTCTTTGGCCGTGCAATCTGATGCACGTCAACTCAAAAGGAGGTTCCACTGAATTCAGTGTGCTTTAATTATAGGAAAGTGTGTATAGGATCGCAACCCTAATGTATATTTAGTAGCACTTAATGAATCAAGCACAGTAACCAGAATCATTTCCTAATTTTGTATTAGAATTAGAGCTGAGCCGTTTCCCACAATTTTTTCAGCACTGCCCAAAATCATCTCCATCAACTGTTTTTTTGGCATTCCTTGCATTTCCCCCCCTCTCATTTCTTTCAATTGTCTTTACTCTCAGTTGCCTTCTCATGTTGTGTCACTGCACATTGAAATCTGATTGGCTGCACCACATAGCTCTTTTTGTTATAGAATGCATGCAGTGTATGAATTGTGACTGGAGGAATTTCACAGGTCCCTTTGGGAACCATTTGCAATCTGATGTCAAATCCATCTTCTTGGAAATGTCCCGTTTATTTCAACTAGAGTGGCATCCAAGCAGTGTGTTTGCATTTGCAGGCCTTGTGGAAAATATTCCGTCAGCCTAACTGCCTGCTAGAAAAAGGTGAGATAAACAGTTTTCCATCTTATTAGATGATGCAACATTAGACTGTCTGCTACTGACAAATTTGCTCATGAGTTATTCCAATATTGGAACTGAGCAACAGAGCATCAGTTTCACATGCTCTATGCTCCATGGCATCTCCAGGTATGTCTGGGAGAGACCATTGCCTGAAACCCTAGAGAGCTGTTGCCGGCCAGAGTAGGCAATAAAAAGGTAAAGGTAAAGGTACCCCTGACCATTAGGTCCAGTCATCACCAACTCTGGGGTTGCAGTGCTCATCTCGCTTTATTGGGCAAGGGAGCTGGCGTACAGCTTCCAGGTCATGTGGCCAGCATGACTAAGCCACTTCTGGCAAACCAGAACAGCGCACGGAAACGCCGTTTACCTTCCCGCTGGAGTGGTACCTATTTATCTACTTGCACTTTGACGTGCTTTTGAACTGCTAGGTGGGCAGGAGCAGGGACCGAGCAACGGGAGCTCACCCTGTTATGGGGATTCAAACTGCCGACCTTCTGATCGGCAAGCCCTAGGCTCTGTGGTTTAACCCACAGCTCCACCCGTGTCAAATAGAGAGTAGGCAATACATCGGTCCAATATAAAGTCCAGTATAAAGCAGCTTCCTATATGCTTCATCGCAAACTTCGTGGTTTTATTTTTGTTTTGCATGTGTCAAATGCCTCGTTTTTTGGCATAATGGCTCCAGGGCAGGCAGGCAGGCAAGAGTTTCAGGCTGTGGACAGCCAGACTTCTGTCATGTGTGATTTTCCTCAAGAGCTCTCTGACCTTCACGAGGGCCTTTTTGCACTTCTTCCAACTGCGTCCCTTTGCCAAGGCTATGTTCTAGCGCAGGAAATTCATAGGAGTTGATGATGCTCCCTGCAGGACTCTGTCCATCAGACAGTAAAATGCACAGTGCTTTTTCCAAAAACTCGCAGTGAGTAATCCTCACACTTGACTCAAATGTTCCTTGGCGTTGCTGCCTGTCACATCTACAGTGCCATGGAGAAGGCTATGGGGAAGGCAATCTCTGCTCTCAGTACTAGAGATATGCACCCTAGGGCGCCCCAGGGTGCCCATTGCAGCCTCAAGAGCTTTTTATCTGAGGACTCAGCATAGCCCCTCACATCCCAAGGACCCAACCGTGTTCCTTGTGCACCTCAGCCACTTTCTCCTGAGCCAAGGTTTGCACTGCCCATCCCTGGTGCAAACACGGTTGTGGCTAAGGCAGAACTCATTTCTGTGTGGAAGCCCATATACAGGCCAATGGGAAAGAGCAGCTGAAGCAGAGAAAGGGGATGAGGCTTACCAAACCTCTGCGGCTGCTCCAAATAGAAAATAAGGGGTTGAATCGCCCTTTTGCATGAGGAAGCTGCATATACACTAAAGCACATTTCCCACCGTCAAAGAATCCAGGGTACTGCAGTTGGTTAAGGGTAACTCTGTGTCAGGAGTCCAGGTTATCAGCTTGATAACACAGTAAGCGTAGCTAAATAAAAAGGTGGATTTATTGCAAAAGCAAACAGATAGCTCTGGACAGCTCTAACAAAGCCTCCAGCACCATTACAGAGGCACCTCGGGTTAAGAACGTAATTCGTTCTGGAGGTCCGTTCTTAACCTGAAACTGTTCTTAACCTGAGGTACCACTTTAGCTAATGGGGCCTCCTGCTGTTGCTGCACTGCCGGAGCATGATTTCTGCTCTCATCCTGAAGCAAAGTTCTTAACCCGAGGTACTATTTCTGGGTTAGCGGAGTCTGTAACCTGAAGCATCTGTAACCTGAAGCGTCTCTAACTCGAGGTACCACTGTACTCAAGATGACCCTTCTGAAGCCTCCTTCCAGTATTTACAGAAGATATTCTTACTTCTTTTGTTTTGCTTCCTGTCTTGCAGCCCTCCCATTCGCCGACTCCTCGGACACAGTGGGTCAGCTCCCGCCTCCTCCTTTTCTGAGAGGCTGTCTCTTAACTCTTTCCCACCTGTTTGTGCTTCTGGTGAGCTTAGCCTGCTCCCCGCTACTGTCTTTATCAGCTTGCATGTCAAGATCAGGAGGAGCCGAAATATGCAGCTGATGGCTTTCCCCTATATGACTAACATCAAAGCAGCCTCTCTGTTCCTGGCTGCTGTCTACAGTTGGCTGCAAACCTTCGCTTGGAGCTGGCTCATTCCTGACACTCTGTGAGGTGTAAACTACAGCGCTCAGAATTCTTTGAGGGAAATAATGTGCTTCAAATGTGCTTTAAAGACATTGTGTGCATGCAGCCACAATGTGTGGAAGGAATACAGCTAGAGGGACATTATTTCTGCTTCCACTCTTTTCAAAACAATGAGTGCTTCCAACAACCTGTTTGTTGAGAGTTCATTTGCTTGTTTAGTATCTGATTTGTCTGCATGGAGCTGAGCTGACTTTGGCTGCTTGAGGAACAGTCATTCTTACCTGTTTGCAGGGAGGGTAGATGCATTCTCACACTTTCTTTTTCCTCCCCCCCCCTTTTAATTTTGCTTTGTTAGTTCCAACAAAAAAAAGTCAACAAAAAAACAACACTTTAAACAGAATACATCTACATATAATAATTTCCTAATACATATTTTCTATAACAACTTCCCAGCACACCTTCACTTCTGTAGAAAATTAGGAAATTATAGAAATTTAAGAGAATAAACATGCATTAGTATAGGTAAAGATAAGTGTGACAATTTAAAAAGTACTTGATTAAAAGATCGCAACAAATTAAAGTCAGTGCTGGTTTTTTTGAGGAGCAGAGAACTTTTTTGCATAATCTCAGAAAAGAAAAGAACAGGATTTCTTGGTGCAAACATTACAACCACCTGCTTATCAAGGCAATACAAATGCAATGGAAGGTAGGGAAGAATTAGCAGATGGGAGTGGGGGCTCGTTCCCAATTTATGTACTCCAATGGCCATTCCCCAGCCTTATTCACTCCCAGATCCCCAATGAACTAAAATGACTGGGGAGACTGGATTGAAGGGAAGAATTTGGGGGCAGAGTAAGCACTGAGAAACCACCTCCTGTCTGCTGAATCTCCCCTAAAATATTCCCTCTGTCACAGCATCAAGAGGCAAATGGGATTAGCGTCCGATCACCTGATTCATTATGCAAAGGGACATTGGTGAGTAGGATCAAAGGGTACATTTTGAACGTTACAGGAAGCTTGAGTGGTCCAGATGGGAGATCTGATACCAGGGACTGCCTACATTCCTGGTATATTAGCATACCCTGTGGCTCAGGATGTTCTTGGACATTAAGCACTGTGTTTTCCCCCTCTAGATTGTTTTGCTTTGATGTCAAATACCAAAAAAAGAAAAGGGACAAAGTTCCTTACCCGCATGATATTGTGATAGGAATTTTGAGGTCTTAGATATATGGTAATGTTCATAACCGCACGTACATAGATCAGCACAGGAAGACCGACCTGAAGCCATTTTGATTCCTAAACTGAGCAAATGTTTTCTCTGCAAGGTCAAAGTGGAAAAGCCTCCCCATTGTCTTTTCCTTCACAAATCCTGTCTTAAGGGTATGTCTGTGTTTGAATAGGGTGTGAGCCTGTGACCTGGCCCAGGAACTAAGTATTTATCACTACAAAAGAATGGCCAGGCTCCCCAGGCAATCCAATCAAGTAACCTGCCAGACAGGAGATAAACAACAACAGGAGAAAAACAATATTCAAATTTCTGTTTTATTTCTGTGATGTAGGTGTGATGTTTCTGAGGGGTGGTCTTAGGTTACACCCCTTCTGTGATGTATGTATGATGTTTCTGGGGTTGGTCTTGATCTACAGGGTGGCAATTTCAAAAGTCTTTATAAGGCCTTGCATGCCATTTTTCTGGGTCCTCCTCCTCTCCTGCGGGTGAGGGGAGCACCCTGTTGCAATAGATCAATAAAGATCAAGCTTACTAGCTGCTTTGCTTCTCAATATTCTCTGGTTGGCCTCTGTTATTCTCTCCTACCAATAGGGAACCTATATGGGCTCTTGGATACCCCATAAGGGAAAAGGGCAATTTTGGTTTACAACAATATCCAGGGCTCCAATTAGGCAAATCAGAGGCAAATCAGGCAAATTGCAACCTCCCCCTCCCCCCTCCATCCTACCAGGGACCCTCACCATTTTAACAGCTGCTCAACAGATCAGATGCTTCAGCCACAAGGAATTCCTCATCCCTCCATCACATCAGGGAAACCTTTGCTCAGCAGATGAAAGCACAAGAGCAGAAGACAGGTTGAATCAGATACCAAATATCAAAATGATAACGAAAGACATAACCTGACATTGTCCTTAGGAATACGAGAAAGGCGCTTCTGGTCAGATCAAAAGCTCCTTTAGCCAAGCATTCGTTCTGCCCTGCCTGTGGCCAGAGAGGTGCCTTTGGGGAACTCACAAACAGGGTGTGTCGCTGTTCCCAACCTTTTGTCTTCAATGGCAAACTGCCTCTGAACATGGAGGTTTAATTGAGCCATCTCACTTGAGACTTCCCATTCTCCCACTTGGCAAGGAGTGGTAACAGGCTGACTAAAAAAGAGAGCATTATATCACTACTACTTTTGAAATTATGTCTAGCATTTTGAGTATTTTAGAAAGTGATTGGGCATTAAGGACTGCCTCAGATACAAGAATATCAGTACGTTTCCGAGCATAATTCAAAGTGTTGGTGCTATCCTTTAAAGCCTTAAACGGCCTGGGCCCAGTATACCTGAAGGAGCGTCTCCACCCTATCGTTCAGCCTGGACACTGAGGTCCAACTCTGAGGGCCTTCTGGTGGTTCCCTCTTTGCAAGAAGTGAGGTTGCCGGGAACCAGGCAGAGGGCCTTCTCGGTAGTGGCGCCCACCCTGTGAAACGCCCTCCCATCAGATGTCAAGGAAATAAACAACTATCTGACTTTTAGAAGACATCTGGAGGCAGCCCTGTTTAGGGAAGTATTTAATGTTTGATAATTTATCACTTTTTTATTCTGTTGGGAGCCACCCAGAGTGGCGGGGTATTACTAATAAATCATCATTATCATCATCATCATGATGAACAGTCATCGCTAGGGTTGCCATTTTCATTTTCTTCCTCTGCCCCTAGGGTGGATGAATAAGATATGTGGGTGTGTGTCTGTACATATCTATCTATCTATCTATCTATCTATCTATCTATCTATCTATCTATCATCTATCTATCTATGTATCTATGAATGACAGGGCTCCTGAACATTTAATAATTGGTGTAGAAAAGGGAATTTAAACAGGTGTTGCTTGTCATGCAAAGTTCACCTGTTGAAATCCCAGCTTTTTACACCTGACCACCCTCTTCTGCCCCTGTGCCTTTTAACAGCAGCTTGGCACACAGAAATTAAACAGGCAAGGCTGTTCTTGATATGGGAATAAAATAGTGGGAAAGGTTTATTTCAGGGGCAGGAAACCTGAGGCTCCCCAGATGTGGCTGGGCTCCCGTTCCTGTCATCCTTAGACAATGGCCAGGGCTGATGGGAGTTCAATGACATCTGGAGGGTTCCCCATCTTTTGGTTACTTGCTAAGGTTGAAGCTGCTGCTAAAGGCATAGCCTGTAAAACAGGTGGCAAACTGTGTTTGGGGGATTTCCACTTTGTCGTTTTCGTTTCGTTTTTAAGTTCTGCTTCAGCAGTTAGCACTGACGGTGTGCTTTTTGGTTTTTTTTTTAAAAAGAATAGATTTTCTTCTTATGAAATATAAATCGTAGCCCTAATTGGGAGAGATGCATTGCTGCAGTGCTAAAGGTGAGGGGCAACTTTATCTTAACCAGTGGGTTGTGATAGGAATTTTGAGGTCTTAGATATATGGTAATGTTCATAAGCGTATCAACCAAGCACATACATAGATCAGCACAGGAAGACCGACCTGGAACCATTTTGATTCCCAAACTGACCAAATGATTTCTCTGCAAGGTCAAAGGAAAATCCTCCCCATTGTCTTTTCCTTCACAAATCCTGTCTTAAGGGTATGTCTGTATATGAATAGGGTGTGAGCCTGTGACCTGGCCCAGGAACTAAGTATTTATCATTACAAAAGACTGGCCAGGCTCCCCAGGCAATCCAATCAAGTAACCTGCCAGACAGGAGAAAAACAACATTCAAAGTTCTGTTTTAGACCGCCTATTTTGTGATGTAGGTATGATGTATCTGAGGGGTGGTCTTAGGTTACACCCCTTCTGTGATGTATGTATGATGTTTCTGGGGTTGGTCTTGATCTACAGGGTGGCAATTTCAAAAGTCTTTATAAGGCCTTGCACGCCATTTTTCTGGGTTCCTCTTCATCTCCTGCGTGTGAGGGGAGCACCCTGTTGCAAGAGATCAATAAAGATCAAGCTTACTAGCTGCTTTGCTTCTCGATATTCTTTGGTTGGCCTCTGTTATCTTCTCCAATAAGGACTCTATATGGGCTCTTGGATACCCCATAAGGGAAAACTGCAATTTTGGTTTACAACAGGGTCATGTTCATAATTTTAAAAGGATGATCAGCATGGGAACTACAAAGGCCCCCTTGAAAAACCAGCAGCCCCTGTTTGTGAGCAATGTTACATTGCTATATTGTCCCCTCTTTCTGGGCACGTGGTGCAGATGCAGGCAAGAAAATTAGCAGCCGTGACACTGGCAAGCCATGGACTCAGGGAAGGCCTCCTCCTGCAGGGTCAGCTTTATTTAACTAAGTTTTACTGCCTGTGAAACTTTTCTGATGTAAAGAAATGCACATGAACAAGCTCTTTGAATAATTTGTAAGTAAACTAATCTTTCAGAGAGAGAGAGAGCACCAACACAGGTACTCTCATCCACTGGATCTTCAGTTCTGCATTTCCTCCCATGTTGCAAGGTTCGTTTTTGTTGCAAACCACAACTGCACAACAACACACCAATGAAAATGTGAGGGGGGCACTTTTTTTATTAAGCAATTGTGATGAAGCACAACAAAGGATTGCTTTTAATAGACCGCATTGCTGAACTCCAGTTGTTTGTCATAATCCTTTAGCTATTCTGTATGCAGTGGTCCTTGGCTTACATGTGGTATATGGGGGAGCAAAGGTTAAGACGACAGGCAAACATTGTTAGCAACAATGACTAAAAGGGAATTACAGCTTTCCAAAGCAAATAAAGTAACATCAAAGGAATTCAATTGCTGGAGAACAACAACCAAGTTTGTGTTTGTTTGTTTTTTGCTTTGAGTGTTACGTGGAATTGCTAGTTAGATTCCATACCTGCGGGAAAATTCAACCAGTTGAGAAATGGTGAGGTGACAAGTATAAACAGTAAGGGAGCCGGTATGTTATATTGGACCCAAGTGGACCAGCCTCCACTGTCCTCTCCAGACTGTGAACCCCAGCAATGTATATTTCCTGTGGAACACCCTCCCACCAGATGTCAAAGAGAACAACAACCAGACTTTTAGAAGACATCTGAAGGCAGCCCTGTTTAGGGAAGCTTTTAATGTTTGATGCATTACTGTATTTTAATATTTTGTTGGAAGCCTCCCAGAGTGTCTGGGGAAACCCAGCCAGATGGGAGGGGTATAAATAATAAATTATTATTATTATTATTATTATTATTATTAGTGGGGACTTGGAGGCTGAGTGTGTCCCTCCAGGGCTCTATTGCTGGGACTTATTCAGAACTCTGCCCTAGGTCACACCCCCTCACTGCCCCAGTTTAGTGACCTCCATGATTGTGTTTGCTGGGTGGAATATGCCCTCAAGCTGTGAGCACTGGCTTACGTGGACAGAGAGAGGTGGGTGTAGATGTAGAAACCTCTTGACATCTACTTTGCAACCTGCTGTATGAGTCACCTGTGTTACACCAGCCACTTTTTGTACTGCTTCTGCCTCCTCTGGCCCTACTCAAGTAACTTATCTGCATCAAGAACGACTGAATGACTCACATCCGGTGCTCAAATGCAACGGAATCGCCCCTGCTGCTAACAGAGGCTGATTCAAAGAAGGTGAGGCCACAGCAGGGACTCATGCAGAGACGTAACAGGTGGTATTCTGAGTTCAGGGAATTCCATCTGTATCGAGGCAAGAGCGACTGAATTCTCTGCTCACATCCAGATGTAGCAGAATTGTCTCCATGGCTAACAGAGGCCGAGTCAAAGGAGTAAAGGGAAGAGCAGTGACTCATACTGAGATGCAGCAGGCAACCTCCTCTGTGGGGTGTGCGAGCTTTGGAACTTTTATTTGATCCGTTTTTGTGAGACACTTGCAGTTCTTTCACAGTTTATCAGTGTGCCCTGTGCCTTACAGTGGGAGTGACAGCAGAGTAAACATGGATGGTCCTTCAGCCCTTGACCAATTAAAAATTGCTCTTGTTAAAAATTGCCTTATTTCTTCACGTATAAGATGATGGGTTTTTTGCTAAAAGCATTTACTAAAAAATTGGGGGTCGTCTTACACATGGATGGTGAATGCCCAGTTTGTTTGTTTTTTAAAAAGCCACTACTTCTCTTCCCATGGCTATCAACTTTGTGCTACCAAAGTTGTGCTGCTTGATGTTTAATAGATTGATTTATTAATTATGGGTTAAAAAAAATAGTGGTTGTCTTATACATGGGGGTGGAAAAATACAGTAGCTGCTGACCAGAGGGTTAAATATGAGAACTGAACTAAACCCCAGTGCAAGTCCCTGTTGCAGGTCTTTGAGAAACCAGAAAGGCAGGTGTGTTTTGGAGAGTTCACAGTGATCAGAACAGTAATCTCAGGGGAGAGGGAGGGCTGCTTCTAGTACAAATGGCTTCCCCATACAGGAAACTCGGTGATTTTGTATGGTTTCGATCCTAAGGCAGGCCGCAACAGGGCTGCCTTAGCTTGGTGACGTGTGTTCCCTGAATCACAATCTCAAAAGGAAGACTTTTAAACGGCCTCGGTCCAGTATATCTGAAGGAGCGTCTCCACCCCCATCGTTCTACCCGGACACTGAGGTCCAGCGCCGAGGGCCTTCGGGGAGTTCCCTCCCTGCGAGAAGCCAAATTACAGGGAACCAGGCAGAGGGCCTTCTCGGTAGTGGCGCCCTCCCTGTGGAACACCCTCCCACCAGATGTCAAAGAGAAAAACAACTGCCAGACTTTTAGAAGACATCTGAAGGCAGCCCTGTTTAGGGAAGCTTTTAATGTTTGATGTATTACATTATTTTAATATTTTTTGGAAGCCGCCCAGAGTGGATGGGGAAGCCCAGCCAGATGGGTGGGGTATAAATAATTTATTATTATTATTATTATTATTATTATTATTATTATTACTTGGGGACAAAAGGCAGGGGTAGGTGTATGCCCAGAAAGGTAGGTTTGATGGCATGTGTGGCTTGCCCAATGATGTGCAATGTTGTTCCCCGAATACTTTTGTTTTGAAGAGTTGCCAACCATCAGGCATTGCTGTTTCCGATTCAGTATGAAGTGCTTTGTGCCACAACACACATATTTTTGCACCAGAGGATTCTCCTTCCCGCATAATTCCAGCTAGGGGCATGGGATAAATGCATTTTGGTTTCCATTTAAAGGTGAATGCATCAACGTCACACTTTCTGAAACAATCCATGAACCAAGACGCCGTTACCCTTTGATAATGCGGTTTTCCAATTAAACAACATTTACAAAATATACATTAAAGAGAAGATGTTCCTGAAAATAACATACACAGATGCATTTGATACGGGGAAATAGCTTGCAAAACTGTGTACACGTGTTAAACCTGCCTACAAAAATGGTTTTGATAGGGGAAATTTGCAGTAAAATGCCGATGAAATGTGGAGAATGGACTAGAAGAAAGAGAAACTGAAAGAACTGAAACTGGCAGATCCTTGCATTCCAGCCCCTGATTTGCCTAGATTGCCCTCAAACCAACCAAACCCCACAGGTGTGAAAGACTGGCTGAATGTAGTAGAGTGGAGGGAGGCACCAGCTGTGGAACCCCCAGCGGAAGAAGGCTCAGAGCCCAGGGATTGGTGGTGGGATGAAGATGACTGGTCAGAGGGAGGAGGAGGTGTCAGAAAGTGAAGAGGTAACAGGGTTCAGTGAGCAAGAAGATGCTGGGACAGAGAGCAGTCCAGAATCAGAGGCAGAAGCATGGGCATAGCCAGGGGAGGCAGGGAGGGGCAGCTGCCCCCCCCCAAAATAAATGAAAATAAATAAAAATACATAGCTAACTGAGGTTCTGTCCCCCACAAGAGGCTTCAGTCGCCACAACGGCTTCATAGAGGCAAGATCAACCGGGGAAATTTGCTGTGTTCACTAGGCCTGGCCTCCTGAGCAGGTCTTGTTTCCTTGAATAAAGAGCTAAAAGGTTTTTTTTTAATAAAAAAAAAAGGTAAAGGACTCCTGGACGGTTAAGTCCAGTCAAAGGTGAATATGGGGTTGTGGTGCTCATCTTGCTTTCAGGCTGAGGGAGCCAGTGTTTGTCCACAGACAGTTTTCTGGGTCATGTGGCCAGCATGACTAAACTGCTTCTGGCACAACAGACACCGTGACGGAAACCAGAGCATATGGAAATGCCGTTTACCTTCCCACTGCAACGGTACCTATTTATCTACTTGCACCGGCGTGCTTTCGAACTGCTAGGTTGGCAGGAGTTGGGACAGAGCAATGGGAGCTCACCCCGGCGCACGGATTTGAACTGCCAACCTTTCGATCGGCAAGCCCAAGAGTCTTAGTGGTTTACACCACAGGGCCACATGCACTGATGTCATGTGATTTATTGCTGACCTGCTGCTGGCTCCCATTCCTGATGGAAGGCTCTGCCTCTCCACCCAATAATCCATTAGGCTGTGGCTCATGATGGAAAATTCACAAGGATCCACCCCATGACCAGTTCAAACTGTTGCTGTCTCTACCCACTGATTGTCCCACCTCCTCCCTCAGGCTCCTTCAGCAAATTGAACTGAAAATTTTAGAATCACAAATTGGCAACGATATTATTTGGACATGAGTCAATTCAGTGACTGAATGATAACAACATTTACCGTAGTTCCAAGCAAGTTCTGTGGCTTTCCAATTAAGTTATGCTAATTAAAATATCTTCGTTTTGTTTACAGATTTTGTTCTGCTTATGATGTCTGAGTTTTCACAGACTTGGAGGAATTATTTGGCAGTCAGAG